ATTTTGGGAGGGGATTCCATGGTTAGAGCTAAAGAACATTGAGGTGGATCGAGGAATTCAGGAGATCCTGGAAAAGGATTTCCATGTTTAGAGCAAAAAGAGCATTGAGCTGGATCAAGGAATTTAGGAGATCTTGGGTAGGGCTTTCATGGTTAGAGCTAAAGAACATTGGGGTGGATTGAGGAATTCAGGAGACCTTGGGAAGGGTTTCCATGGTTAGAGCAAAAACAGCATCGAGCTAGATCAAGGAATTTGGGATATCTTGGAAAAGGATTTCCAGCAAAAAAAGTATTGAGCTGGTTTGAGGAATTCAGGATAGTCCTACTTTTGCTGTCTTATCTTTAGTATTTAGCAAAATTATGTGAATTCAGGTCTACTTTAATTTCCTTTCCTTCTCCAAGTTTGTGCAGGAATTTTAAACCCAAGGTCACATTCCCCCACTGACTTCCAAGAGCTCCCTCCCATCCTGACCCTCCCAAAAACCCGACCCCCTCAGACCCAACAATTCCACTTGGAAACCGTAAGAAAACCCCAAAATCAGGCGTTCCACCCCACTGGGAGCATCCCAGTCCCTTCCTGGGGCACTTACTGGTCCCGGGGGTGGTACTGGACCTTGAGGATGGGCGAGGGGAAGCGGAACCTCTGGTCACAGTCCCCGGACAGCACATCCCACTGGGACACGATGTTGTCGGTGGAGGCGCTGACCAGCTTGTGGCCATCGCGGCTCCAGCTGTGCCATGAGGAGGGAATGCACAGAAATGTTATTCCTTAAAGGGCAGGGGGGGAAAGGAGCCCAGGGAATGCACAGAAATGTTATTCCTTAAAGGGCAGGGGGGAAAGGGGCCCAGGGAATGCACAGAAATGTTATTCCTTAAAGGGCAGGGGGGGAAAGGGGCCCAGGGAATTCTCATTAAAATCGTTACTTAAAGGGGTCAAATGCAGCCAGGGGGAAAAGGATCTGGGGACTCCATGGGGACCCCCTGTGGATTCCCAAGGGGTTCCAGGGGTACTCCATGGGGACTTTAGAGGGATTCCAGATGGATTCCCTGGGGATTCCTGCACTTCCTGAGGGATTCCATGCAGATTCCTGCACTTCCTGAGGGATTCCATGGAGATTCCATGGGGATTGCATGGGGACTCCCTGGGGATTCCTGCAGTTCCCAAGGGATTCCATGGGGATTCCTGCAGTTCCCGGGCTTTGCTCACCAGAGGGAGCAGACGGGGTGGATGTGGGATTGCTGGGATGTGGGATTGCTGGCATCCTGGGATTGTTGGGATTCTGGGATTGGTGGGATCCCCATCTCTGCTCACCAGAGGGAGCAGACGGGGTGGATGTGGGATTGCTGGGATGTGGGATTGTTGGGATTCTGGGATTGCTGGGATTCTGGGATTGCTGGGATCCCCATCTCTGCTCACCAGAGGGAGCAGACGGGGTGGATGTGGGATTGCTGGGATGTGGGATTGCTGGGATCCTGGGATTGTTGGGATCCTGGGATTGCTGGGATCCCCATCTCTGCTCACCAGAGGGAGCAGACAGGGTGGATGTGGGCGCTGATGATCTTGGCGATGCCGCGGGTCAGGAAGTCCCAGATGACGATACGGCCGTCGTTGCAGCCCACGGCCAGCAGCGTGCCCCAGCGGTTGAAGGTGCACGTCAGAGCCATGCTGATACAGTCCAGCGTGCCATCGGCCTCCTGCGGGGACAGCACGGGGACAGGGTGGGGGACAGCGCGGGGGCAGAGCGGGGACAGCATGGGGACAGAGCAGGGACAGCACGGGAGAGTGTGGGGGACAGCATGGGGACTGTGTAGGGACAGCACAGGCAGTGTGGGGACAGTGTGAGGAGAGCATGGGGACAGCATGGGGACAGTGCAAGAATAGTGCAAGGACAGTGCGGTGACAGTGTGGGGACAGCATAGGACAGTGCAGGGACAGCGTGGACAGTGTGGGGATGGTGTGGGGATGGTGTGGGGACAGCACGGGGACAGCATGGGGGACAGCGCAGGGACAGCATGGGGACAGCGCAGGCAGTGTGGGGACAGTGCGGGGACAGTGAGGACAGTGTGGGGGACGGCGTGGGGACAGCACAGGCAGCGTGGGAACGGTGCAGGGACAGCGTGGGCCAGTGCAAGGACAGTGAGGGAACAGCACAGGGACGGTGTGGGACAGTTTGGGGACAGTGTGGAGAATGTGGGGACAGTGCAAGGACAGCGTGGGGGACAGCGCAGGCAGTGTGGGGACAGTGCCCAGCCAGGACCCATCAGACACGGTGACACCCAGTGAGACCCAGCCAGAGCCACTCAGAACCAGCCAGACAAGCTCAGACTCAGCCAGACCCAGTCCAGCCCACTCAGACCCAGCTGGACCCACTCAGACCCAGCCTGTCTGAGCCAGACCCAGTCCAGCCCACTCAGACCCAGCTGGACCCACTCAGTCCTGGCCAGAACCGCTCAGACCCAGTCCGACCCAACCAGAACCAGCCAGAGCCGCTCAGCCCCGCTCAGACTCAGCCAGCCCCGCTTAGTCCCACTTAGACCCGGCTCAGGCCGCCCCCACCGGGGGATGCTCGAGGGCAGCGCCGTTACCTCGGGGTAGTTCTGGCCGAAGGACTCTGCGGAGGAACGGGAAAGCGGCGGCTGAGCGAGAGGCGGCCCCGCCGAGCCTGCCCGGCTCCGCCGCCCCGCTCCGGTACCGGCACCGCCACCCCCCATATCCCCGGTGCCGCCGCTCCCGGCTCCAGCCCAGCCCCGCTCCCTCCTCATTCCCATTCCCATTCCCAGCCGCGCCTCCCCCGCTCCCGTTCGCACCGAGCAGCTCCAGCTTCGTGATGCCGCCGTCCCACCCCCGCCGCTCCCCGCTGCCATTCCCGCAACGCCCCGCTCCGGTTCCCGTTCTCTTTCCCGCTCCCATTCCCACTCCGGTTCCCATTGCCCGTTCCCGCTCCCGTTCCCATTCCCATTCCCCTTCCTGTTCCCATTCCTATTCCTGTTCCCGTCCCCCCTCCCATTCCCATTCCCGCTCCGGTTCCCCCTCCCGCTCCCCTTTCTCCCTTCCCATTCCCGTTCCCGTCTCCTCTCCCGTTCCCATTCCCCGTTGCCCCTCCCGCTCCGGTTCCCGCTCCCATTCCCGTTCCCTCTCCCGCTCCCCGTTCCCATTCCATCTCCCATGCCCCGCTTCCCGTTCCTGCTCCCTCTCCCCGTTCCCGCTCCGGTTCCCGCACCGAGCAGCTCCAGGTTCATCGCGCCGCCGCCGCCGCTCCCGCTCCCTCCGCTCCGTCGCCGAAGGACCCCGCGGGGGCCTGCCCGGCGCCGCGCCTCGCCGTTCGCCTGACCAACCGCCGCTCCTTTCCCCCGCTCCCGCCGCGGCTCCCGGCGCCTCCCGGGCCGGCTCCGCCCGCCCCTCCCGGCGGGCTCGGGGAGCGGCGCCGCTCGCTCCCAGTGCGGCGGTGGCGCCGGGAATCGGCGGCGGCGATCAGGCAGCGCTGCGGGCAGCCCCGGCGCGACGCGCGGAAGAGACCGGGGGAGCCCCGCGGCCGCGCAGGAAGGTTCCGGGAAGGGGGAGCGGTAATAAAGTAGCACCAATAATTAAATTCATTAAAATAATTTTTATTCTAATAATTAACTGAAATAGCAGGGGGAAGCTGGGCCTTTGCCGGTATTGCCTGGATTTCTACTGGAAAGGACAGGCTGCTTTTGGAAAAAAGGAAAGAAAAAATAAAAGGAAAGGAAAGAAAAAATAAAAGGAAAGGAAAGAAAAAATAAAAGGAAAGGAAATAAAATAAAAATTAAAAATAATAAAAATTACAAAATAAAATATAAAACATCGAATAATAACAAATATAAAACAAAATATTAAAAATAAAGAAAAATAAAGAAAAATAAAAATTAAATAATAAAAATAGAAAAAATAAAATAATATAAAATATAAAAAACAGAGGAAAAAATAAAGAATAAAGAAATGAAATGAAATGAAATGAAATGAAATGAAATGAAATGAAATGAAATAAACCCTGATTTGAGGGATAAAAAGCTGTGGAATCTCCCAACACCAACTCCAGGCAGGCAGAAAAAAAATCCACCGGGAAATTCCCAAAAACGCCTGCAGAGAACTGTGGGGGCAGAGCCACAGGAAAAGCTCGGGAATCGCAGGCATAGAGCTCGGGCTTCATCCCCCTTCATCATCCCCGCTCCTCTGGCGCCATCCTGAGGCCATTCCCGCTTTTCCAGGGGTTTTTCCTCAGAGCCATTCCTGCTTTTCCAGGGGTTTTCCCTAAGGGTCATTCCCCAGTTTCCAGAGCTTTTTTCCGAGGCCATTCCCACTTTTCCAGAAGATTTCCCTAAGGGCCATTCCCACTTTTCCACAGGTTTCCCCCAGGCCATCTCCACTTTCCCAGAGGTTTTCCTCGAGGGTCATTCCCACTTTTCCAGAGGATCTCCCCAGAGCCATTCCCACTTTTATAGAGCTTTTGCCTGAGGGCCATTCCCACTTTTCCAAAGGTTTTTCCTGAGGCCATTCCCACTTTTCCAGAGGAAAATCCACTCTGGGAATGCCAAAACAGGGATTGGATCCACTCTGGAAATGACAGGAGAGGTTGGATCCATAACAAAACCACTTTGGAATGGCCGAGCAGGGGCTGGATCCATAAAAAACCCCTCTGGGAATGGCAGGAGAAGTTGAATCCATCCAAATCCACTCTGGGAATGCCAAACCAGGGATTGGATCCATAAAAACCACTCTAGGAATGCCAGGAGAGGTTAAATCCATAAAAAACCCACTCTGGAATGCCAGGAGAAGTTGGAAACTCTCTGGAATTCAAATACAGACACTGGATCTACACAAATCCACTCTGGAATGGCACAGCAGGGATTGGATCCATAAAATTCCCACTCTGGAATGGCAGGAGAGGTTGGATCTGCCCCCATCCCACTGGGAATTCTGGCACATCCCCCACGGGTGCAGAGAAGAAACAATTAAAGACATTTTTTTTTCTTTCCTCCATAAAAAGCTCCTGAATCCATTTTATTGCACAAAGAAAGGAAAAGATTCCCACTAAACCCATCCTCGGCCACGGGCAGCTGGAATTTCAGCCAAGGAATTCCACCTTCCCTGGGAACTCCAGCTGGAGAATTCCCAACTCCTCAGCTCCTCACGGAGCCACCAAGGGGCATTTCCTGCTCCAGATCAGCCCAATTCCACCCCAAAAATGCAGGAAGCAAACTGGGATTTCCAGGAATTTGGGAAAGACAACCTTGCCCAGGATCCCCCTTCTTCTCTATCCCCATTTTTTTTTTTTTTTTTAATTCTTTCCGACCGAATTCCAGCCCTGGAGTGAAAGTGAGGGGAAGAAGGAAGGATCTTTCTTCCCATCCAACTTGGAAAAAAAAAGCTGGAAAAACCTCATTTTTTTAAATATTCCTGTGCACACTCAGCCCAATTTAAAACTGCCACGGCAATCCCATGAATTCCAAGCCCCAAATCCTGATTTTAAAGGAATTTTGGCACTTTCCCCCACGGAAAAATCAAGAATTTTAAGGACTTTTTGTGCTGCTACAAAGCGGAACCTCTGAGGAATGCAGCGTGGAAGCAACGGAAGGTTTCTCCAGCCATTCCAAGAAATTGAAGGAAGCAAAGGAGAGGGGAAAAAGAGGAGGAAAAGGTGGGATTAGGGATCAATAGCTTATCCAGGTGGGGTTTTCCAAGTCCCCATAGAAAAAAAATATGGAAGCTTTGCTCCTGTCCATGTAAACATTTCCAGCTCCTTGGAGCTTCCCAACACTTCCTTATCCTAAAGTTTGGTGCCTTTTCCTTCTTCTCCTCTGGAATTGCTGCCAAAGGCAGAGGGAGGAGCAGGATGGTTCTCCTGGGGTTTTGGGAAGGGATTTTCCCATCCCATGGATCCCTCCCAAGGCTTGGGGTGGGATTGGCAAAGCCACAACGTGAGCACGAAGGGTTTGGGTTTTCCATCTCTCAGTTCCATGGGGATAACAGGATTGGGATGGAGCTGTCACCCCCCTGTCCCAAACAATTCCATAGGGATAACAGGGTGGGACTGGGATGGAGCTGTCACCCCCCTGAGCCCCTCCCTGTCCCAAACAATTCCATAGGGATAACAGGACTGGGATGGAGCTGTCACCCCCCTGTCCCACAGAATTCCATTGGGTGAGATTGGGATGGAGCTGTCACCCCCCTTAGCTCCTCCCTGTCCCACACAATTCCATAGGGATAACAAGACTGGGATGGAGCTGTCACCCCCCTGTCCCACACAATTCCATAGGGATACCAGGGTGGGATTGGGATGGAGCTGTCACCCCCCTGAGCCCCTCCCTGTCCCACACAATTCCATAGGGATAACAGGATTGGGATGGAGCTGTCACCCCTCTGTCCCACACAATTCCATAGGGATAACAAGATTGGGATGGAGCTGTCACCCCCTGTCCCATAGAATTCCATTGGGTGAGATTGGGATGGAGCTGTCACCCCCCTTAGCCCCTCCCTGTCCCACACAATTCCATAGGGATAACAGGGTGGGATTGGGATGGAGCTGTCACCCCCCTGAGCCCCTCCATGTCCCACACAATTCCATAGGGATAACAGGATTGGGATGGAGCTGTCACCCCCCTGTCCCACACAATTCCAGAGGGATAACAAGACTGGGATGGAGCTGTAACCTCCTGTCCCACAGAATTCCATTGGGTGGGATTGGGATGGAGCTGCCACCCCTCTGAGCCCCACCCTGTCCCACACAATTCCATAGGGATAACAGGATTTGGATGGAGCTGTCACCCCCCTGTCCCACACAATTCCATAGGGATAACAAGACTGGGACGGAGCTGTCACCCCCCTGTCCCACACAATTCCAGAGGGATAACAGGGTGGGATTGGGATGGAGCTGTCACCCCCCCTGTCCCACACAATTCCAGAGGGATAACAGGATTGGGATGGAGCTGTCACCCCCCTGTCCCACACAATTCCAGAGGGATAACAGGATTGGGATGGAGCCGTCACCCCTGGAGCTCCTCCCTGTGCCCGCAGCTCCGCGGCAGGGGCGGGGCTGGAATTGCCCAAATCCCGCCTCAATTCCCGAAATCCCGCCTCAATTCCCGAAATGCTGCCGCAGCTCCCGCTCAGGTGGAGTCATCCAGGCCTTTGTTGGGATGCTCGGAGGGAGCCCGGCAGAGCCTGTCCATGATTCCCTGGAGCATGGGCTGCACGATTCCCAGCAGGGGCCGCTGGGAGGAGTCCCCGTCCCAGCAGGCTTCCATCAGCTGCCAGCATTCCTCGTCAAACACCGGGAGCCGCTCCGGGCGAACCCCTGGAAACACAGCGGGGTCACCAGGAATGCCAGCAATGTCCAGGGAAAACCCTGACCGCATCCAGGGAAAGCAGGCGGAGGGGTTGGGTGACACAGGGGATCACCAGGAATTTCCAGGGAAAGCTGGTGGAGGGGTTGGGTGGCACAGGGGATCACCAGGAATTTCCAGGGAAAGCTGGTGGAGGGGCTGGGTGGCACAGGGAATCACCAGGAATTTCCAGGGAAAGCTGGTGGAGGGTTTGGGTGGCACAGGGGATCACCAGGAATTTCCAGGGAAAGCTGGTGGAGGGGTTGGGTGGCACAGGGGATCACCAGGAATTTCCAGGAATTTCCAGGGGAAGCTGGTGGAGGGTTTGGGTATCACAGAGAGATCACCCAGAATTTCCAGGGAATGCCCTGCCCATATCCAGGGGAAGCAGGTGGAGGGGTTGGGTGGCACAAGGGATCACCAGGAATCCATAAGGGATCCACAGAGTATCACCAGGAATTTCCAGGGAAAACCCTGCCTGGTGTTTACATCTAAGGAAAGCAGGTGGAGGGATTGGAAGGCACAAGGGATCACCAGGAATGCCAGGAATTTCCAGGGAAAACCCTGCCCACATCCAGGGAAAGCAGGTGAAAGGGCTGGGTGGCACAGGGGATCACCAGGAATTTCCAAGGAAAGTATGTGGAGGGGTTGGGTGGCACAGGGGATCATCAGGAATGTCAGGAATTTCCAGGGAAAGCAGTTGGAGGGGTTGGGTGGCACAGGGGATCATCAGGAATGCCAGGAATTTCCAGGGAAAACCCTGCCCACATCCAGGGAAAGCAGGTGAAGGAGATCACCAGGATCAGCAGGAATTTCCAAGGAAAGTCCTGCCATGCTGGGAATGAGCTGGGAATGAGTCAGGAGTCCTGAAATTGGGATTTTTTTTAGAGAATTATGGAATGGTTTGGGTTGGAAAGGATCATCCAGTCCCTCCCACTATCCCAGGCTGGAGCCATTTTACCCATTTTATCCAATTTACCCATTTAATCCACTGTCCAACCCACCCTGGGATGCTCCCAGGGATGGAACAGCCCCAGCTCCTCTGGGAATTCCATCCCAGCCCCTCCCAGGGAGGAACTGCTTGGACTCCATCCCAGAAATCTTTTCCAGCTTCAGGAATTCTGGGATTTTTTTACCCTTCACCTCCCCACCAGCAGAACCAAAGTGGATTTTCCCACCAGCCCAGGTGTTCCAGAGTTGAGCCAAGCCCAGGTACCTCTCCTGACGTTGTTCCACAGGTGATCTTTGCTTGCACACCTCTCAAAAGCCTCAGGTAACTTCACGTGGCCCGAGCAGAGGTACCAGAACAGGATCCCAAAGGCATAAACATCCACGGAATTGTCGTATTTCCCTGGGAAAAAACCAGCAGGGAGAAATCCCTGGGAGCTGGGCAGGCTGAGGGGTGATTCCAGGCTCCCCCCTCCCCAAATTTAAACCTCAATTTCACAGCAGGAAGGCAAAACTTGTGTGAAATCCAGGAAGGCAGCAGGAGCTGGGATCAAGGTTAAGCTTTTCCAATTTCCAGGATTTATAAATGTAAATATACAAATTAAGTATAAATTTCCAGGATTTATATATTTATAAAACAAGGATTTATAAATTTAAGTACCAGGAATTCCCAAACTGAGCTCAGGTGTGTTTTAAACACCAACACCTGTAAGGCTCAGCTCTGTCAGAGCCAAAGATCAGCCCCTGATCCCAGAAATATCCCAGATATCCCCTAAATCCACACAAATAGGGATGTTTCCTTTGGATCCCAACCTTATCCAAGCAGGAGCAGCTCTGGCAGAACAAAAGGATTGGGATAACTGGGATTTGAATTTCCAAGTGGTTCCAAAACTCAGGAAAAGCCCTCAGAGCAGCTGCCAGAATTCCCAGAGAATCCAAACTCACTCCAAGGTGGGAACAGCTTGGGAATTCCTTCCAGGGAATCCATCCTGGAGTATTTCCCTATGAAAGCCAAGGATTTCCAGCTTCCTCCTAATGATAATTTACCCTTCTAATTGCAAGGGTGTTAATTACCTCAGCAGAGCCGACCAACCCCATTATCCCCTGTCAAGAGTGGCACTTAAAAATTCCAGGGCATGCATGGAAAGCAGGGAATTTCCTGGGGTTGGAATGACCTCAGGAGCTACTGAGAGATGAATTCCAAGGAATTGCCTTCAGAATTCCAGGCAGAGCAGGGGATCCAGGGGGATCCTACCTGTGAAGAGCTCGGGAGCCATGTGGATGGGGGTGCCCACGATGCTGCCAGACATCATCGCCTCAGGTTTGCAGAACCCCAAATCTGTGATTTTGGCCCTGTTCTTTTTGTCCAGCTGGGGAAAAAAAAAAAAAAAAAAAAAAAGCCACAGTTAGGCAGGTGAGAACTTCATTTCTCCTATAAAATATTGAGTTTTGATATTGTGCTGGTTTTGCAAAAAAAAAAAAAAAAAAAAAAATTAATACATTTTTTCTGGTTATTGTCATAACCATGTAATGATAATAGAAAAATGCTGGAAAATAAAGAGCTGGAAATGCTGGAAAATAAACAGCTAGAGATGTGTTCTGTGGCAAGAACTCTCTGGTCACAAGAGCAACCCACAACTGTCCCAGGCATTGTCCTGCCTCTGCAAAAGGTTCAGCACAGAAAATTTGGGTCATTTTTGGCCCTGTTCTCCAGCCCAGGGCAAAGGAAAGAAGCCCCAAAATCTCTGCAGAAGGTTCAGCACACAAAATTTGGGTCATTTTTGGCCCCCGAGTCCCTGCAGGGACTAACAGAAGGTTCAGCAGAGAAAATTTGGGTCATTTTTGGCCCTGTTCTCCAGCCCAGGCCAAGGGAAGAAGCCCCAAAATCTCTGCAGAAGATCAGCGAAAAGAATGAGAAACAATTCTAATCTTCACTTGCTGCACCTGTTATTGTGAATATGTGGGATTTGTTATGGAGATTTGTTCACCAGAGGGTGGATTTTTAATTAACCAGTGGTGATGGTGTCTGATTGGAGGACGAATGAGGTAATGAGTGCCTGTCTATAACAGCAATAGTTTTCTAGGGTTTCTTAATAAATAATTATATTTAACCCCCTTAATAGGGTTTCTTAATAAAGATTATTATTGATCACCCTTCTGTGAATCATGGAGTCAATGCCAATTATTACCCAGCCAGGGGCTGAGATGATTTTGTACATAAACCCCTGCCCTGTGTGAGGGGCTCCTGCTCCCTTTGCCCAAAATTCCAGCCAGGAAAGGAGGCAGCAAAACCTCCCTGTGGCTGACACCAGCACAGCTTAAAATAACCCATGTGGAGAAATTTATTCCCTCACTTAAAGGTTGTTTTTTCCCACTAAATCAGCTCTGGGATGAGGCAGAGGCAGGGATTTTCCTTACCAGGACATTTTTGAGTTTGATGTCCCTGTGCACCAAGCCCTGGCTGTGCAGGTACCGGATCCCTTCCACCACATCCAACGCAATCTGCAACCGTGGCTCCAATTCCAGCCCAGCCTGAGGGGGAAAATGTGGATTTTAGTCCTAAATGTTGCTTTGGTCTGCTCTTCTTTACTAAAATTGAGTAATTTCAGCTTTGTTTTACGGATTAATGGGGAATTTTTAATTAGAGAATCAGTTTTGAGTTGGGAGATCAAAACTCATCCCATGGGCAGAGACATTTCCCACTAAACCAGGTTTAATCTGAGGGGGAAAATTTAGATTTTAGTCCTAAAAGTTGCTTTGGCCTGCTCTTCTTTACCAAAATTGAGCAATTTTAACTTTGTTTTATGAATTAATGGGGAATTTTTAATTAGAGAATCAGTTTTGAGTTGGGAGATTAAAACTCATCCCATGGGCAGGGACACTTCCCACTAAAACAGGTTTAGCCTGAGGGGAAAAACTCAGATTTTATGCCCAAAAGTTACTTTGGTCTGCTCTTCTTTACTCAAATTAAGTAATTCCAGCTTTGTTTTATGGATTAATGGGGGATTTTTAATTAGAGAGTCAGTTTTGGGTTGGAAGGGAGATCAAAACTCATCCCATGGGCAGGGACGCTTCCCACTAAATCAAGTTTAGTCTGAGGGGAAAAACTCAGATTTTATGCCTAGAAATTACTTTGGCCTGCTCTTCTTTACCAAAATTGAGTAATTCCAGCTTTGTTTTGAAGATTAATGATGATTTTTTAAAATTAGAGAATCAACTTTGGGTTGGAAGGAAGATCAAAACTCATCCCGTGGGCACCTCCCACTAAACCAGGTTGCTCTGAGCTCTGTCCCAGCACTTCCAGGGATAAAATAAAAATAAAATAAATATTGAATAAGAGAATTTGGCACCTTCAGCCCCGTGTAGAGGTCCCTGTGCAGCCTCTCCATGATCAGCAGCACAGCAATGCTGGAGCCTCCTCCATAGCCATAATCAATAACGGAGCCATGCAGGTGCACCAGCCTCTCGTGGGACTGCAGGGACCTGCAGAGGGGGCAGCACAAAAAATCTGGGTTATTTTTACCCCATCCTCCAGCCCAGGCCAAGGGGAGAAACCCCAGAGTCTCTGCAGAAGGTTCAGCACACAAAATTTGGGTCATTTTTGGCCCCCCAAGTCCCTGCAGGGACTGACAGAAGGTTCAGTACAGAAATTTTGGGTCATTTTTGGCCCCGTTCTCCAGCCCAGGCCAAGAGAAGAAGCCCCAAAATCTCTGCAGAAAGTTCAGCACAGAAAATTTGGGTCATTTTTGTCCTTATCTCCAGCCCAGGCCAAGGGAATCCCTGCAGGGACCTGGAGCAGATTCAGCAGAGAAAATTTGGGTCATTTTTGTCCCTGTTCTCCAGCCCAGGCCAAGGGAAGAAGCCCCAGAGCTGCAGATTTAGCAAAAATTCCCAGCACAGCTCAGAGTAGCACAATCCTCAGCTGTCTGAGCCAATTAAACTCAAAAAAAGAAAAAAGCCTTTTTAAAGGTTAGAGCCACAAAAAAACTCATTCTTCTCTCAGCTGGCTGTGCCTGCAGCTGTTTACTGCAAAGCAGCTGCTCTCTGCACTGCAGAGCCATCCTTGGCTTTTTTGGGGATTCAGGCAGGACAAGGAGTGGGAAAAGAGAGAGGATTGATCACCAGGAATCAGGGGAGGAGAGTTGCTGGTTATTATGGTCTGTAAACTGGAATTTCCTCTGAATTTGGACAGCACAGGCAGCAGGGAATCCGATTAAGGCAGGAAGGAGCATTCCAGGAGCTCCAATCCCAGATTCCTGCAGCAAACCTGGATGTGGCACTGCGAGCTCTGGGCTGGGTGACAAAGGGGACATCAGCCACAGGCTGGGGGCTTTTCCAGCTTCAATAATCCTGGGAAATCAATCAGATCCCTGTGGAATGGGGGAAGCACTCAGCATACAGACCTCATGTAGTGAAATTCCAGTGCCAGGTCGTTCCAGTGCTTCTCATCCGGAGGGACGACGGATTTGAGGGCGCAGGGGAAGTGTCCCCCCCAGCTGTCACACAGGTACACCACCCCATACTGGCCTCGGCCCAGCTCCCTGCCCAGCTTGGGCTTCCCTGCAAGGCACAATCCCCAAAATCAGTCCCCAGTCCCAAAAAACAGCCCTCAGTCCAAGGCACCAATCCCAAAAATCAGCCCCCAATCCAAGGCACCAATCCCTGCAATCAGCCCCAATCCAAGGCACAAATCCAAAACATCAGGCACCAATCCCAAAAGTCAGCCCCCAATCCACATTTTTCCCTCCTGCACATTCCTAACTGTGAGGTGGTTGGGAGGTGCCAGTTGAAACCTGGCTGGAAAATGGAGTGAAAATCCAAACTGGATTTTCTGGAAAATGGACTGAAAATCCAAACTCCCTCCCCTCCACTGCTGCCCAGAGAAGAAGGGGAACAGGATCCCATTCCCAGCAGGGACCATTCCCAGCAGGGACCGCACTCCCAGCAGGGACCCTTCCCAGTAGGATCCCCCTCCCAGCAGGATCCCATTCCCAACAGTGACCCTTCCCAGCAGGGACCATTCCCAGCAGGATCCCCTCCCAGCAGTGACCACATCCCCAGCAGTGACCCCACTCCAAGCAGGATCTCACTCCAACAGAATCCCCCACCCAGCAGGATCCCATTCCCAGCAGTGACCCAATCCCAGCAGGATCCTATTCCCAGCAGTGACCCAATCCCAGCAGGATCCTATTCCCAGCAGTGACCCAATCCCAGCAGGATCCTATTCCCAGCAGTGACCCAATCCCAGCAGGATCCTATCCCCAGCAGTGACCATTCCCAGCAGGATCCTATTCCCAGCAGTGACCCCATTCCCAGCAGTGACCATTCCCAGCAGTGTCCCCACTCCCCTCAGTGTCCCCGTTCCCCTCAGTGTCCCCGTTCCCCTCAGTGTCCCCACTCCCCTCAGTGTCCCCACTCCCCTCAGTGTCCCCACTCCCCTCAGTGTCCCCATTCCCCTCAGTGTCCCTTTCCCAGCAGGCTCTCACCGTGCAGCAGCACGTCCTGCAGGGATCTGCTCTCCAGGGAGAGCCGGGCCAGCCGGGGCGCGTGCTCCTTCCTCACCCTCAGCCACAGGTCCTCGGTGCGCTCCAGCCGGCCCGAGTGGCCGTCCTCCAGCTGCGGGGACAGCACGGCCTCACTGCGCTGCCCATGCGGGACAGCCGGGCTTGCAACGGCCAGCACAGCTCAGAAACATCATTTACATGGATAGGGAGATAGGTAGATAGATAGAGAGATTAGATAGATAGATAGATAGATAGATAGATAGATAGATATAGATAGAGATAATAGATAGAGATAGATAGATATAGATAGATAGAGATAGATAGATAGATAGATAGATAGAGATAGATAGATAGAGATTGATAGATAGATAAATAGAGATAGATAGATAGATAGATAGAGATAGATAGATATAGATAGATAGAGATAGATAGATAGAGATACATAGATAGAGATACATAGATAGATAGGTAGATAAATAGAGATAGATAGATAGATAGATAAATAGAGATAGATAGATAGATAGATAGATAGATAGATATAGATAGATAGAGATAGATAGAGATAGATAGATAAATAGAGATAGATAGATAGAGATAGATAGATAGATAAATAGAGATAGATAGATAGATATAGATAGATAGATAGATAGATAGAGATAGATAGAGATAGATAGATAGAGATAGATAGATAGATAGATAGATAAATAGAGATAGATAGATAGATAGATAGATAAATAGAGATAGATAGATAGATATAGATAGATAGAGATAGATAGATAGAGATAGATAGATAAATAGAGATAGATAGATAGATATAGATAGAAAGATAGAGATAGATAGATAGATAGATAGATAGATAGATAGACAGACAGACAGAACTCCCAGGCAGTTTTTGCACTTAAAACCCCACATTTCCCTCCCCATTCCCAATCTCCCAGTCAGTTTTTTGCTGTTTCTGCAGTTAAACCCCACATTTCCCTCCCCATTCCCGATCTCCCAGTCAGTTTTTTGCTGTTTCTGCAGTTAAACCCCACATTTCCTTCCCCATTCCCAATCTCCCAGTCAGTTTTTGCAGTTAAACCCCACATTTCCCTCCCCATTCCCGATCTCCCAGTCAGTTTTTTGGTATTTTTGCAGTTTAAACCCCACATTTCCCTCCCCATTCCCAATCTCCCAGGTGGTTTTTGCAGTTAAACCCCACATTTCCCTCCCCATTCCGGATCTCCCTTCCCGGACCTGGCGCAGGGAGGCGGCGAAGGCCTCGTGGGAGCTGTTGAGGCGCGTGCGGAACTGGCTGCAGATGCTCTTGGCCAGCTTGGAGGCGCTGAGGCTCTCGATGGCGTCCTGGGCCACCTTCCTCTTCCAGTCGCTGGTGATGGCCGGGGGGCTGACCCACGTGATCCGCTGGATTATCTGGGAAAATCACGGAATCATCATCCCAGAGTCACGGAGTCACCAGGCTGGAAGAGAGCTTTGGGATCATGGAGTTCAACCCAGCCCCAACACCATAACTAAATCCCAAAAGTCAGCCCCCAGTCCAAGGCACAAACTCCTGGAATCAGCCCCAAATCCAAGGCACCAATCCCAAAAATCAGCCCCCAATCCATGGCACAAACCCCTGGAATAAACCCCAAATCTAAGAGACCAATCCCAAAAATCAGCCCCCAATCCATGGCACAAATCCCTGCAATCAGCCCCAGTCCAAGGCACCAATCCCTGGAATCAGCCCCAAATCCAAGGCACCAATCCCAAAAATCAGCCCCAATCCAAGGTGACAAATCTCATAAATCAGCCCCAATCCAAGGCACAAATCCCCAAAATCAGCCCCAAATCCAAGGCACAAATCCCCAAAATCAGCCCCAAATCCAAGGCACAAATCCCAAAACACAGCCTGCTGTCGAAGGCAGAAATCCCAAAAATTAGTCCCAAATCCAAGGCACCAATCCCTGCAATCAGTCCCAATCCATGGCATAAATCCCAAAAATCAGCCCCAATTCCACAGCACCAATCCCTGGAATAAATCCCCAATCCCAGGCACCAATCCCTGCAATAAATCCCCAATCCCAGGCACCAATCCCTGCAATTAGCCCAAATCCAAGGAACAAATCCCCAAAATTAACTCCAATCCATGGCACAAATCCCAAAAATCAGCCCCAGATCCCTGGAATCAACCCCAGTCCAAGGCACCAATCCCAAAAATCAGCCCCAATCCAAGGCACCCAGTGCCACATCCAATATTTTTTTAAACACATCCAGGGATGCCGACTCCACCACCTCCCATTCCAGAACTTTATCACTCTTTTAGCAAAAAGCTTTTTCCTAAATCCAACCTAAATTTCCTCCTGAAATTCCTCCCCTGAGCTGGAACTTTGTTCCCTCCTCGGATGGATGAGCAAGAACAAAACTTTTCCTCAAAAGTGGGAACAAATTCCAGATTCCTCCTCCTCCTTTCCTGGGACAAGGATCCACTCTGGAATTCTGTGGCTTCTAATGAAGGGTGAGGCAGAGCAACTTAATTACCCACTAATTACAGGAAGTGCTGATTCCAACTCCTGGAATTTCCACACAAAAAGCTGCTTCCCTGGAAATGTCACCAATTTGGGAACAGCTCTCCCTGATTTTCCCACCAATATTGTGGAATGAAAATCCTGGAATTCCCAGAATGGCTTGGACTGGAAAAGATTTTAAATTTTATCCCATTCCACCACCCCAGGATGCTCCAATCTCCATCCTTGGGCACTTCCAGGCATGGAAATCCCCAGGAATAATTCCCAGAGTGAATTTTGGGAGCAGCTGAGAGGATTTTTTGCTCCAAAATTCCCTTTTCCAAGCGTCCACACCTGTTTGATCTGTTCCCACAGCATCCTGGTCACCGTTGAACCCGAGTGGAACGTGACCTCCACGTGATAGGCTGCATTCAGGATCTGGAAAAATAAAAAAATAGAGGGAAAAATGGGAATTCTGCCAGCCAGGAGCTTTGCCAGAGCCTGTAAAAATGATAAAAATTTGGTTAGTCCACAAATCACTTGGTTAATTGATTTATCGTGTTGTTTCATGGGTGTTTTAGTCTGTAATTTGATTATTTTATACAGGTTTATGAGATAATTGATTTATTGTGTTATTTCACATTGATTTATTGTATTGTTCCATGAGTGTTTTTAGGCTGTAATTTGATTATTTTATACAGGTTTATGAGATAATTGATTTATTATATTATTTCAAGGGTGGTTCCAGACCATATTTGATTATTTTATAAAAGCTTATGAGATGATTGATTTATATGTTGATATTGATTTATTCTGTTATCTCATGGGGATTTTATGGCCATAAAGTTATTATTTTATCCAGACTTAGGAGATAATTTGATTATTTTATACAGGTTTATGAGATAACTGATTTATTGTGTTATCCCATGGATGTTTTTAGGCCGTAATTTGATTATTTATACAAATTTGGGAGCTAATTGATTTACTGTATTATCTCACATGTGTTTTAATGTTCTAATTTAACTATTTCACCCAAATTCAGGCCCATGGCAGTTCCAGAATCCCAATCCCCCCCTGTTTGAGACAGTTGCTGGTGATGTGCATGGATCCATCCCGGGGTTTCTCCAGATTTTTTAGGTGGTTTTATGGCAATAATTTGATTATTTTATACAGATTTGGGAGCTAATTGATTATCTCATGTGTGTTTTATGGCCATAATCTGACTATTTCACCCAAATTGAGGCCATGGCAGTTGCAGCACCCCAAACCCCAGCCATTCCAGACCTGTTTGAGACAGTTGCTGGTGATGTGCATGGATCCATCCCGGGGTTTCTCCAGAGTTTTTAGGTGGTTTTATGGCCATAATTTAATTATTTATATAGATTTATGAGATAATTGATTTACTATGAATCATCTCATAGCCGTAATCTGACTATTTCACCCAAATTGAGGCCCATGGCAGTTGCAGCACCCCAACCCCCAGCCATTCCAGACCTGTTTGAGATAGTTGCTGGTGATGTGCACGGCTCCCTCGCGGGGTTTCTCCAGAGTTTTTAGGTGGTTTTATGGCAATAATTTGATTATTTTATATAGATTTGGGAGCCAATTGATTATCTCATGTGTGTTTTATGGCCATAATCTGACCATTTCACCCAAATTGAGGCCCATGGCAGTTCCAGCACCCCAAACCCCAGCCATTCCAGCCCCATTCCAGACCTGTTTGAGACAGTTGCTGGTGATGTGCATGGATCCATCCCGGGGTCTCTCCAGGGTGTTTTTATGGCCATAATTTAATTATTTATATAGATTTATGAGATAATTGATTTACTATGTCATCTCATAGCCATAATCTGACCATTTCACCCAAATCCAGGCCCATGGCAGTTGCAGCACCCCAATCCCCAGCCATTCCAGCCCCATTCCAGACCTGTCTGAGACAGTTGCTGGTGATGTGCACGGCTCCCTCGCGGGGTTTCTCCAGAGTTTTTAGGTGGTTTTATGGCAATAATTTAATTATTTATATAGATTTATGAGATAATTGATTTACTATGAATCATCTCATAGCCATAATCTGACTATTTCACCCAAATTGAGGCCCATGGCAGTTGCAGCACCCCAGACCCCAGCCATCCCAGACCTGTTTGAGATAGTTGCTGGTGATGTGCACGGCTCCCTCGCGGGGTTTCTCCAGCCCCCGGGGTGGGTGCACGGAGCCCTCCCAGGACTCCTCCAGGCTCTTGAGGCAGCGCTCCAGGGTGCCCACGAAGCTCTCCCTCAGATAATCCACGGAGCTGATCAGTTTGTTGGCCACAGCCTGGTTCAGCCTGGAGATGATCAGCTCCTGGATCTGCTGGATGCAGCGCTTGATGTCCTTGGAGCTGACGGGCTCGCCGCTCTCGGGAATGATGATGTCTGCAGGGAAAGGGAGGGAAAATCACCTGGGATTGTTGGGAGAGCAGTCCTGAGGGGTGCTCTGAGGAGCACACGCTGATCCTAAGGGTGTTTTAAAATAATGGTCTTCCCAATGATGCCAGAATTGCATTATTATTGTTTTAGACAAGATTATGATAATTTTATTCAAGATTATTGATTATTATTTTAAGATTTATTATCATTTTCTCCAAGATTGCTACGATAATTTTCTCCAAGATTACTATGATAATTTTCTCCAAAATTATTATGGTAATTTTCTCCAAGATTATTATGATAATTTTCTCCAAGATTGTTATCATTTTATCCAAGATAACTATTCTTTTATCCAATATTATCATTATTTTATCCAATATTATCATTATTTTATCCAATATTATCGTCATTATTTCATCTAATATTATCACCATTCTTTTATTTACAATTATGACCATTTTATCCATTATTATCATAATTATTTTATCCAAGATTACTATCAATATTTTATGCAATATTATTATCATTATTTTATCCAAGATTATTATCATTATTTTTTCCAAGATTATTAATGACTTTATCCAAGATGATGACTATTTCATCCACAATTATTTTATCCAAGATCACTATCACTTCATTCAACAGATCCTACCAAAAAATGGATATTGCCTGATCCCTGATTTTCATCCATGTTTGGGGTTCTGGAACCATCCGGGAATTGCAGGTTGGAGTCTCACTGAATTCCTGGAATTATTGTGGGTCAGGATCTGCTTGATCCCAGATTTTGATTTGTGTTTCGGGTTCTGTGACCATCCAGGAATTACAGGTTGGAATCCCACTGAATCCATTAATTATTGTGGTCAGGATCTGCCTGATCCTTGATTTTCATCCATGTTTGGGGTTCTGGGATCATCTGAGAATTACAGGGTGGAGTCTTGGTGAATTCATGGAATTTTCATGGTCAGGATCTGCCTCATCCCAGATTTGGACTCATGTTTGGGGTTCCATGACCATCCAGGAATTACAGGTTGGAATCCCACTGAATCCATCCATTACTGTGGTCATGATCTGCTTGATCCCAGCTTTTGATTGGTGTTTAGGGCTCTGTGACCATGCAGGAATTGCAGGTTGGAGTCTCACTGAATCATGGAATTATCATGGTCAGGATCTGCCTGACCCCTGATTCTCATCCTTATTTAGGGCTCTGTGACCACACTGAATCCATCCATTACTGTGGTCATGATCTGCTTGATCCCAGCTTTTGATTGATGTTTAGGGCTCTGTGACCATGCAGGAATTGCAGGTTGGAGTCTCACTGAATCATGGAATTATCGTGGTCAGGATCTGCCTGACCCCTGATTCTCATCCTTATTTAGGGCTCTGTGACCACACTGAATCCATCCATTACTGTGGTCATGATCTGCTTGATCCCAGCTTTTGATTGATGTTTAGGGCTCTGTGACCATGCAGGAATTGCAGGTTGGAGTCTCACTGAATCATGGAATTATCGTGGTCAGGATCTGCCTGACCCCTGATTCTCATCCTTATTTAGGGCTCTGTGACCATGCAGGAATTGCAGGTTGCAACCCCACCAAACTCCTGTGCCAATTTTGCCTTTCTTCCCACCTCCCTCCCCACCAACCACCCCCAAACCCTCCAGCTGGCTCCCACCTCTGAACTCCATGCTGGCAGCATCCTCCAGCAGCTCCTCCTTCATATTGCCCAGGGTGTCCACGATCATCTCCTTCATCTCCTCCTGCTTGCGGTTGGCGATGCCCATCAGCGACTCGTAGAGCTCGTTCTCCTTCCTGCGCGTGTACTCCAACCTCTTGGGGGTGATCTGCAGGTCCCTCTGCATGTCAAAGGCCTGGTTGATGAAAATGTTGAGGCAGCGCCCGTGGACCTCGCTCAGCCTCGTGGCTGCCTCCACCAGGTGCTGCTGCAGCACCTGCCTGGAGAAGGAGCTCAGCAGCCTCAGCTTTTCCAGCTGCTCCACCAGCATGGAGGAGCCGGGAACGCCGCAGCCGCAGGGGCTGGAGGGGCTCAGGTATTCCAGATCCAGCAGCTGCAGGTGCAGAGGGGATTTGTTGTCCTTGGGGGGGTTTTTGGGAGAGCTCAGCTCGCTGCCGGCCTCGGGGATTCGCAGGAAGAAGATGGGGAGGGAGAATTTTTGTTTGATTTCCCGAAGTTCCGCCTGGTCCGATGGGGACAGCTGGGGCTCGCTGATGGCAAAGGTGACAACGGGCAGCACCTGGTTCACAAACTCGGCCAGGGTGGACTCAGCTGACTGGAAGCCTCGGCATGGAGCCACTACGATGTCCACTTCCTGGGAAAAAGAAAAAAAGAGGAGGTGTGGAGAGGTTTTTTCCATGGAAAAATGTTCTGGGAGTCGTTCACACAGCAAAAAACCTGGAACTCTTCAAAGCAGATCTGGAGTCTCAGCAAGGCTGATCCCTAACTCCAAATTCCTCATTTTGGACCAAATCCTTGGAGTTTTAGCCCAGTTTAGGACAAGGCTGATCCCTAACTCCAAATTCCTCATTTTGGACCAAATGCCTTGGAATTTTAGGACAACACTTAGGACAAGTGTCCCAGGAAAGAGCCAGTAGGGGAATTTATTGAATAGGGTTCAATAGGGTTCACCCCAAACTCCCCATGGACCAGGGCAGGGACAGTGGCAGTGCCACCACAAGCTACCCACAGACCAGCGATAGTGGCAGTGCCACCCCGAACTCCCTACAGACCAGGGCAGGGACAATTTGGGAATTAATTTATCAGGGCTGTAAATGTCACGTCCTAGATGCCAGGGACAGTGGCAGTGCCACCCCAAGCTCCCCAGGGACAGTGGCAGTGCCACCCCAAGCTCCCCACATGCCAGGGACAGTGGCAGTGCCATCCCAAGCTCCCCAGGGAAAATGGCAGTGCCACCCCAGGCTCCCCAGGGAAAATGGCAGTGCCACCCCAGGCTCCCCAGGGACAGTGGCAGTGCCACCCCAGGCTCCCCAAGGACAGTGGCAGTGCCACCCCAAGCTCCCCAGGGACAATGGCAGTGCCACCCCAGGCTCCCCAGGGACAGTGGCAGTGCCACCCCGAGCTCCCCAGGGACAGTGGCAGTGCCACCTCAGGCTCCCCAGGGACAGTGGCAGTGCCACCCCAGGCTCCCCACATGCCAGGGACAGTGGCAGTGCCACCCCAGGCTCCCCAGGCACGGCGGCAGTGCCGGGCACGGTGCCACCCTGACCTTGAGCAGTGCGCAGGGCAGCACCACCTCCAGCTCTGCCACCCTCTGTGCGGGATCCTCGGCGTCCCCTGGCACCTGCAGGTCCTGCTCGGGGATGGTGTCCCAGTGCCCGCTGTGTGCCACCAGCGCCTGCACCAGCTCAAACTGCCCGGGCAGTGCCAGGCTCAGCCGCGGCCGCGCCCCATGCGTGAAGCGCACCCGGCGGCGCCGGCAGCGCTGCTCGGTGCCTGTGCCAGCCCCAGGGGTGGGCAGCAGCTCCTCGGTGCCAGCCATAGGGGTGGGCAGCAGCTCCTCAGTGCCAGCCCTGGGCAGCAGCTCCTCAGTGCCTGTGCCAGTCCCAGGGGTGGGCAGCAGCTCCTCGGTGCCAGCCATGCGCAGCAGTTCCTCAGTGGCAGCCTCAGCAATGGGCAGCAGCTCCTCGGTGCCAGTCCCAGGGGTGGGCAGCAGCTCCTCAGTGCCCATGCCAGCACTGGGGGTGGGCAGCAGCTCCTTGGTGACAGTCCCAGGGGTGGAAAGCAGCTCTTCGGTGACAGTGCCAGGCCCAGGGATGGAAAGCAGCTCTGCAGTGTCAGCACCGGGCAGCAGCTCCTTGGTGCCAGCCCCAGCAGCAGGCAGCAGCTCCTTGGTAGCAGTGCCAGCCCCAGGCAGCAATTCCTGGGTGGCAGCTCCGGGAAGCAGCTCCTGGGTGGCAGTGCCAGGGGTGGGCAGCAGCTCCTTGGTGCCAGTGCCGGGGGTGGGCAGCAGCTCCTGGGTGCCAGTGCCGGGGGTGGGCAGCAGCTCCTTGGTGCCAGTGCCAGGGGTGGGCAGCAGCTCCTGGCCCAGCAGGGTGTTGAGCAGGCGGCCCTTGGCGCGGCAGTTCTGGCCCAGGATCAGCAGGCAGGGCCTCCAGCTCACCGAGCGCTGCAGCTGCTCCTCCTCGTGCTGGGGGAACGACACCGGGCTGGGGCCTGCAACGGGACAGGGGTCAGGGGTGCAGCCCTAAAAATGGGGCCTGAAATGGGACAGGGATCAGGGGTTTGGCCCTAAAAATGGAGCCTGAAACAGGACAGGGATCAGGGGTACAGCCCTAAAAATGGGGCCTGAAACAGGACAGGGATCAGGGGTTTGGCCCTAAAAATGGGGCCTGAAATGGGACTGGGATCAGGGGCTGGGGTCTGCAACAGGACAGGGATCAGGGTTTGGCCCTAAAAATGGGGCCTGAAATGGGGACAGGGATCAGGGGTTTGGCCCTAAAAATGGGGCCTGAAATGGGACAGGGGTCAGGGGTTTGATCCTAAAAATGGGACCTGAAACAGGACAGGGATCAGGGCTTGGCCCTAAAAACAGGGCCTGAAATGGGACTGGGATCAGGGGCTGGGGTCTGCAACAGGACAGGGATCAGGGATGCAGCCCTAAAAATGGGGCCTGAAACAGGGATCAGGGTTTGGCCCTAAAAATGGGGCCTGAAATGGGACAGGGATCAGGGGTTTGGCCCTAAAAATGGGGCAGTGCAGCCCCACAGCCGGGGGAACACCCCGAGCTGCTGATAGGGGAGTTCCTGCTGTGCCAACTGCAGGACAAGAATTAATTCAGGATCATTACAGGAGCACAGAATCCCAGCAGCCTGGGAAGGGATGAGCCCCAGGGAAGGCACTTTGCTGCCAGCCAGAAGGTTCCGGAACAGCCTCAAACCCCACAAGGTTCCCCCAGAGCCCACAAGGCTCCCTCAGACCCACAACCCTCCCTCAGAGCCCACAAATGTAGCTCACATCCCACAAACCTCCCAGAGACCCCAGAGACTGCCCTCAGAGCCCACAAACGGCCCTCACACCCTACAAATGTCACTCAAATCCTACAAACGTCACTCAGGCCCCACAAACATCACTCAGAGCCCACAAATGGCCCTCAGAGCCCACAAACCTCCCACAGACCCCACAAAGTGCCCTCAGACCCCACAAATGGCCCTCACACCCTGCAAACATCACTCAGACCCCACAAATGGCCCTCACACCCTGCAAACCTCCCTCAGACCCCACAAATGGCCCTCACACCCCACAAACCTCCCTCAGAGCCCACAAATCGCCTTCAGAGCCCACAAATGGCCCTCAGACCCTACAAACATTGCTCAAACCCCACAAACCTCCCTCAGACCTCACAAACAACCCTCAAACCCCACAAACCTCCCTCAGAGCCCAAAAACGGCCCTCAGACCCTACAAACCTCCCTCACACCCCACAAACGGCCCTCACACCCCACAAACCTCCCTCACACCCCACAAACCTCCCTCACACCCCACAACCATCACCTGGCTGTGCTAATTCAAGCTCAGGGCTGAGTTTAGCTCGTGTTTTCTGTTTTTTTGGGTTTTTTTTTAATCCTAAATGCAGCTTTGGCAAGAGCTAAATTCAGCATTACCCTCGTGCACAGCACAGAATGACTCTGACAGCCCCAAAAAACACAAACAAATCCCTCATCAGGAACACAAAAATCCCAGGAATGAAATTAAATGGGAAATGGAACCACCAGGCCCTAAAAAAATGCCCCATTTGAGAGGTACAAAGCACTGGGATTGTTCTGATACTGGAATGGATTTTACAGGGTTAAAAATTCTGTTTAAAATTTGCTGTTAAAATTCTTTTTTTTTTTTTTCATGAGTCATGTTCTGGTAGCCTGAATTGTGAGGAAAACAAGATCTTCCCCTCCACAGGATCCTCCTCACACTCCAAACCCCGTTAAAGAATCCTACAACACATCCCTCTCCTCACTCTGACAGCTTAATCACTCCAGTTTAATTAAAATCAGCCAAATTTGGAGCACTCTGTGTAGTTTTAGATTGGTTTAAAGCTCCTTTAAAATCCTGCCCAAGGTTTGCCTTCCCCTCAAATCTTTCAGGATTTTGGAGGAGTTTTTCCACCCCAAAACTAAGGAAAAAAGCCTATTTGGGGCTCAGCACTGCACCCCTGCCCCACAAAACCCCAATTCTGAGCCCAAATTCCCGAGTTTGGGAATGGTTGAAGGGAGAAATCTCTGCTTAAATGTGATTTTTGGGATTGTTTTCCAAACAAGCCTTTCAAGAGCCACATCAAGTGACCAGAGGGCTGGAAGCTGACCAGGAGCACACAAAAGATAAAGATCTGGGGAAAATCCCACAAATTGCACATTTGAGCCTTCGTCTGTAGGATGGCTTTGATCTGGGGACATTGCTTGGATCTGGTCCTGGGATTCAGGCTCTGGAGCATGAAAAAAGCAATTCAGGGAGGGCTGCAGAGGCAGAGCCCTTTCTCTGCTGAGGCTTCAGAGGCAGCACAGCTCCCTCTCCTCCCTCCAGGAAGGAATGGATCCTTAAATTCAGCAAAAATATCTCCAAAAAATCACTGGGATACAGCAGCTTAAATTAAATTATTGAAGGATTATTTATATGGATGGAGAATGCTGGGATGGTTTGGGTTGGACCTTAAGGCTCCTCCTGTTTCTCTGCCATTCAGGGACACCTTCAGTACCCCAGGATGCTCCAGGCTGGCTTTGGACACTCCCAGGGATGGAACAGCCACGAATTCTCTGGGAATTCCATCCCAGCCCCTCCTCACCCTCACAGAGAGGAATTTCTTCCTATATCCCATCTCAACCTTTCCTCATTCCCCTTTCCAGGTGAAAATTTCCCTTTCCAGCCTTCTTGGAGCTCCTTTGGCTACTGGGAAACTGCTCCAAAGTCCTGCCAAATCCTCCAGGATTTGTGGTTGAAACACCCTTCCCAAGGTCCTCCCAAATCCATTTTTTCTCCAGGATCCAGGGTTAAAACACCTTTCCCATGATTCCACACCCCATGATCAGCACAGACACAGATCCAAGGTGGGAGGGACCCAACAAAAAGCTGGATCAGAACTTCTAACGTCCTGCCACATCCATCTTTTCTCCAGGATCTGAAGTTAAACCACCTTCCCTGTGATCAGCACAGACACAGATCCAGGGTGGAAGGGACTCAACAAAAACTGGGATCAGAACTTCCCACTTTTGAGGGATGCAGCCACATTCCTGGGCAGTGCCAGGGGCTGGAGCTCCATCCCAGCTCCATCCCAGCTCCATCCCTGCCCTATCCAGGCTCTATCCCAATTTCATCTCAGCTCCATCCCAGTTCCATCCCAATTCCATCTTGGCTCCATCTCTGCTCTATCCAGGCTCTATTCCAGTTTCATCTCAGCTCCATCCCAATTCCATCTCGGCTCCATCCCTGCTCCACCCTGGTTCCACCCCTGCCCTACCCCTATCCTGGCTCCATCGTGACCCAACCCAATTCAATCCCAGCTCCACCCTGGCCCCATTCCAGCCCCATCCCAATTCCATCCCAGCCCCATCCCTATCCCAATTCCATCCCTGCTCCATCCTGGCCCCACCCTGGTTCCATCTGAATTCCACCCCAGCCCCATCCCAATCCCATCCCGATTCAATCCTGGCCCCATCCCAGCTCCATCCCTGCTCTATCCCAATTCCATCCCTGCCCCACCCTGGTTTAATCCCAGCCCCATCCTGGCTCCATCCGGCCCCATCCCTATCCCTGCTCTATCGCAGCTCCACTCTGGTTCCACCTCAGCTCCATCCCTGCCCCATCCCAGCTCCACCCCTGCTCCATCCCAGCCCCATCCCTGCCCCATCCCAATTCCACCCCAGCTCCATCCTTGCCCCACCCCAGCTCCATCCCTGCCCCATCCCGGCCCCATCCCAATTCCACCCCAGCTCCATCCCTGCCCCATCCCAATTCCACCCCAGCTTCATCCCTGCTCCATCCCTATCCCTGCCCCACCCTGGTTCCATCCCAGCCCCATGGTGGCCCCATCCCTATCCCTGCTCCATCCCAGCTCCACCCTGGTTCCATCCCTATCCCTGCCCCACCCTGGTTCAATCCCAGCCCCATGGCGGCCCCATTCCTATCCCTGCTCCATCCCAGCTCCACCCTGGTTCCATCCCTGCCCCATCCCTGCCCCATCCCAGCCCCTTCCGGGCCCGGGCCATGTGACCGGAGCTCGGGGCAGCCCCGGGGCACACATCCACACATCCACACATCCCATGAATTCCCGGGATCAAAGGAGGCCTGTCCACCACGGAACAAGGGCGCCTCTCACCAGGACTCTTCTCCAAATCCACCCAGAGCTCGGCAGAACAACCTCAGCTCGCATTTATGGGATCTATGGAAGCTCCAAGCATTTGATCCAGTTTTTCTGCTTTTTTCCATTTTATCCAACCTGGCCTGGGACACTCCTAGGGATGGAGCAGCCACAGCTCCTCTGGGAATTCCATCCCAGCCCCTCCCCATCCTCCCAGGGAAGGATTTATTCCCAAAATCCCCTCTGGCAGTGCCATTCCCTGTTTGCTGGCACTCCATCCCTTGGAAATATTGGAAATATTCCATTTTTCTCATCAGATCACCCCAAATCCTTCTCTTCTCCAGGCACAACGATCCCAAATTCCAAACATCACAGGCTCACCTGGCTCTGCCCCTTCCCAAAATCTCCTTCCCCACCCAGCCTGGTGAGAGGGGCAGCAGCCACTCCCCAAAATCCTGAGGTGCTCCCAAAACCTTTCCAGCCACAACTCCACAGTCGCACAAAGGGAAAACAAACCCCAAATCAGCCCAAAACCAATTATTTTTTTAGACACAGACAGAAAAACTCAACACTTGAACATGAAACCAGGATTTGGACTGCAAAGATGAGCAGGTCCAAAAATCCTGGACAAGAATCCTGGACAAGAATCCCAGACAAGGATCCCAGACACGAGAGATGACTCAGGAGCCTTTTGGGGATGAATGAAGAAGACCTTTATGGACCTTTCACCTCACACTGAGCCCCTCTCACGAGACAGTCTCATGGAAACACCAAGTCCTGCCCGTGGCAGCAGAGGTGCCACCCTCAGCTCTGTTTGTCAACAGCAGCAGCTGAGCAGAGAGCCCCCAGTGAGGCCACAATTCCCAGGGAATTCCGGGACAAACAGGGAATGCCAGCCCCACATTCCCTGAGCAGAGAGGCCCCAGTGAGGCCACAATTCCCAGGGAATTCCGGGACAAACAGGGAATGCCAGCCCCTCATTGCCTGAGCAGAGAGGCCCCAGTGAGGCCACAATTCCCAGGGAATTCCGGGACAAACAGGGAATGCCAGCCCCTCATTGCCTGAGCAGAGAGGCCCCAGTGAGGCCACAATTCCCAGGGAATTCCGGGACAAACAGGGAACGCCAGCCCCTCATTGTGCTGCCTCTTCTGAACCCCCTCCCCTCCCTGCAGGGCTGGAGCTGCAGGTGGGGGTCAGGGGCAGAGGGTCCCCATCGTAAATCCATGGAAGGGACCCGCAGGGATGGTGGGTGCAGCTCCTGGCCCTGCACAGACCCCCCAAAATCCCACCCTGAGCATCCCTGGAGCGCTGTCCAAACGCTCCTGGAGTTGTGCCCATTCCCTGGGGAGCCTGGGCAGTGCCCAGCACCCTCTGGGAGAAGAATATTGTCCTTATACCCATCTTAAATGACAGCCACAAAGCCTCTCCCATCCTCCAGGCACGCCCAGCCCGGTAACCCCCATGACAGCTCTCCCAAGCCGGACACTTCACTCCTCACCGGAACCCTGACAAGCCCCCCAGAGACCCCTGACCCGCAGAGGTTCCCCCTTTACCCCCCCCAGACCCCTCACCCTCGCACCCCGCCCGCCCCCGGCCCTCTCTCACCGCCGTCCCCGGGACCCCCATCCCCATCCCAGGCGGAGCGGGGGCCGTCACCGGCAGGCGCCGAGGCGAAGGGATGTCCCTGGGAGAACTTGACGTCGCGGAAGAACCTCTTGGTCTCTCGCAGGTTGTGCTGCAGCCGCGCCAGGTGCCGGTTGTAGTGGCCGAAGGAGCGGCAGAGCTCCCGCACGGCCCCGCCGGGACCCCGCCATGACGGGGCCTCCTCGCCCTCCATGTCCTCCGGGTCCGCCCCGCTATCCCCTCCCCACCGCGGGCAGCTCTCGGGCCCTGCCAGGCTGCCGATGTTCGGGGAGGAACCTCCCCGAGGATTTCCTCTCTTCCCGACCCCCCCCACCCCCCGCCCCGCCCGCCTCCCCGACCCCCGCGGCCGCCGCCTTCTCCCGAGGGGAAGCGCCTCCACCGGCCGCGCTGCGTGTGCGCGGAACGTTTGTCGGCGCGCCGCAGGGCAAAGGGGGAGGAGGCCGGGCGCACCCTGCGCGCGAGGCACGCTGGGAGATGTAGTTTATTTACGCCCAAATGAAGTTCATTTTCCCGGCCCGCGAGGGAACGCCGGGAATTGTAGTCCGTTTTGCCGCAAAGCCTCCTGGAATTTGTAGTCTCTAGAAGGGCGGCCGCCGACCTCTCTCCGCGGCCTCTGCGCACTCCCGCGGGGGACGAGCAAAAAATCTCCAAAAAACGAGAACGACCATGAAATGATGCATTTAAACCGGGGAAGCAAAAGGGGGAGCTCAGACGCCGCCTGCTGTTCCCCCATCCCGCGCTGCGCGGAGCGGCTCGGCAGGAGGCGGCGCGCCCCTCTCCAGCTCCGCTCCGCCTCCGCGAATCACCAGCGGCGGCCCCGCCCTCCACGCGCCTTCATTGGTCAATTCCTCCCGCCAGCACCTCCCACCGAGCACGCTCCACCAATCACCGCGCGAGGCACCTCCTCTCTCACATCGCCATTGGCCGGCGGCGCTGCCCATCAGTCGCGGCGGCGGCGGCGATGCCGGTGCCGGCGGCGGGCGCGGAGCCGCCGCGGCGCGGAGCCGCCGCCCGGCCCGGGCTCGGCGGGGCGGGCGGGCCGGGGCCGCGCAGCCCGCGGGCCCCGCAGCGGCCGCCGGGGCGCCGCCCGCCGCCGGCACCGCTGCGGCCGTAGGCGCCCCCCGCGCGGCGCGGGCACGGCGCCCCCGGGATGAAGCGGTGCCGCTCGGACGAGCTGCAGCAGCCCGAGGAGGATCCCGGCGCCGCGGGGGAGTCGCCCGGTCACGGCATGATGGAGGGCAAGGCCGGCGAGGCGGCGGCGGCCCCCGAGGCGGGCGCTGTCCCGGCGCCGCCGCGCTCCAAGCCCCCCGACCTGAAGGTGAGCGGCGGGAGCGCTCCGGTGGGACACGGGGGACGGGAAAATCCCGGAGGATCGGTGGGAGGGGGGTCCCGGTGGTGGCCGTGGTGGGGAGAACCCAGCGGGGTCACCGGAGCGATGGAGCTCGGCGGTGCCACCATCCCCTCGGTCCTACAGGTGTGACCTTGGAGGATGCGGGATGGCTCCGGGATTGGGGGAACCCTGGGAATGGGGATAATCCTGGGAATGGGGATAATCCTGGGAATGGGGTGCTCCCGGGGCAGGGTACCCCTGTATTGGCGTGCTCCTGGGATGGGGATGATCCTGGAAATGGGGTGCTCCAGAGGGATGAGACCCCTGGATTGGGATGCTTCTGGATTGGGGTGCTCCTCAATTGGGGTGTTCCTGGATAGGGATGATCCTGGGAATGGGGTGCTCCCGGGACAGGGTACCCCTGGACTGGGGTGCTCCTGGATTGGGGTAACCCTGGGAACAGGGTGCTCCAGGATTGGGGTGCTCCTGGGATGAGGATGGTCCTATCAGCAGAGATCCTACTGGGATTAGGATGCCCCATCCCTGTTCTGGGGATCCTGCTGGATGAGGATGCTCCAGGGATGCAGACACTGCTGGGATGGGGAATTGCTGGGATAGGATCCTCCTGGAATGCGGGTGCTCCTGGGGTCGGGATGGGGCTGGTCCTGCAGTGGGGACACTCCTGGGATTGGGATTCTGCTGGGATGAAGAAATCCCGGGCGTTGGGGGCTGCCCCTCTGCAGATCCCAGGAAATCCCTGCCAGGAGTTGGGGGGATGATCCGGGGGGAATAATCCGGGAGGATCCGGGGGAATATGGGGGGGATGCTCCGGTGGGATATGGGGGGAGGATCCAGGGGGATCTTCCAGGAGAATCCGAGGGGATGCTCCAGGAGGATCTGAGGGGGATGCTCCAGGAAATATCCAGGAAGATCCGGGGGGATTTGGGGGAGATGCTCTGGGAATATCCAGGGGGGATGCTCCGGGGGGATCTGGAGGAACATGGGGGGGATGCTCCGGGAATATCCAGGAGGATCCAGGAGGATCTGGGGCAGATGCTCCAGTAGGATCCAGGAGGATCTGGGGGGATGTGAGAGGGATGCTCTGGTAGGATCCAGGAGGATCTGGGGCAGATGCTCCGGGAGAATCTGAGGGGATATGGAGGGAGATGCTCCGGTAGGATCCGGGGGGATGCTCCAGGAGGATCTGAGGGGGATGCTCCAGGAGGATCCGGGAATATCCAGGAGGATCCGTGGGGGGGATGCTTCGGTAGGATCCAGGAGGCTCCGGGGCTGCGGCACCGGGAGTGACGGTGTGGAAATGTGGGAATGTGGAAATGGCCCCGAGGCTGCTCCTGCCGGGCCCGCGGGCCGGAGGAGGAGGAGGAGGAGGAGGAGGAAAACAAAAAACAAACCCCGGGCACTGCAGCGCTGCGGGAGGCACAGAGCCCATCCCGGAGCCGGGATCCGGCTGGAATCCGGCACGGAATTCCCCTGGCTTTTGGGGGGGAAAAAGCAGCTCCGACCCCCGGCGGCTCAGCGGGGTTTTATTGGTGAATTCCCAGCGTGGAACTCGGGGTGTGCAGGCGTGGGAATGCCGTGGGCAGGCTGGGATCAGAGGGCAGAGTGGGTGCCCCCCACGGTGGTGCTTTCAAAAAGCTCTGGGGAAAAAAAAAGTGGGAAATGTGGGATGCGGGATGGAGCCCCTCGGCGTGGCAGCCCTGACGGTGTCACCGGCGGGGTCAAGGTCATGATGGCACTGCCAGGCTCAGCCAGGAGATCAAATCCCTGTTCCCAGAGGAAAACTCGGCTGCTTTGAGCACCAGGAGCCCCCTGGCTGCTGGAGGTGGCACCTGGGGCCTTCCCTTGGTGGCCCAGCAGCTCCTGAGGCTGTGCTGGCTTTGCTGCTGCCGCCCCAAAAACAGCTGGAGGAGCCAGGGCCGGGCACATCTGTGGGATGGAAGGGTGGCACGGGGCATCCCAGAGAATCTGTGGCTGTCCCTGGATCCCTGGCAGTGTCCAAGGCCAGGCTGGATGAGTTTGGAGCAGCAGGGACAATAGGAGGTGTCCCTGCCCACCCCTGGAACTGGATGAGGTTTAAGGTCTCTTCCCAGCCAAACCATTCCGTGATTTTCTGACTCCCTAATTCCATGATCCACGAGGATGTGGAGCTCAGGGCCATGCTTAGCACATCCAAGGTATTTTTCCCTGTCCTTTCTCCGTCCCACCTGGGGCACAGAGGCTCAGAAAGGGGTGGGAATGTTGGCCCAAAGGAGCTGCAGCTTCCCATGGCCATGCCCACCGCCCCAAACATTCCAGGGCTGGCACATCCCACCCGCAGCTGGAGCTCCACAGCCTCCTCCAGCAGCAGCATCCGAGGCCAAATAAACCCCATTGATTTTATCGAGCTGCCTGTGCTCCCTTCCTGCAGGTCTGCTGCCAGGGCTCACCTTTAATGCAGCAATTAATTAAAATAAATCCTCAAACTGGGCAGAACTCGGGCAAAGCTGGGGCTGGTTGCTGCCCACAGCTGCCACAGTGTGCCAGGCATTGTGCCACGGCCACCACCAGGTAATAAATTAATAAATAATTAATTAATAGATCTGAGTTTTCCTGCCCCAAAGCCCCTGTGGAGCTGCTGGCGGGGTGGGTTCAAGCTGGTTCTGCCCCAAATTCAGATTCCTGTCCCTGGGAATTGGGCAGGATCAGAGATTCCTGTCCCTGTGCATGGGACAGGATCAGAGATTCCAGTCCCCATGGATGGGGCAGGATCAGAGATTCCTGTCCCTGTCCCGTCCCCATGGATGATTAAGGATCAGAGATTCCTGTCCCTGTCCTGTCCCTGTAGATGATGAAGGATCAGAGATTCCTGTCCCTGTCCTGTCCCCATGGATGATGAAGGATGAGAGATTCCTGTCCCTGTGGATGGGACAGGATCAAAGATCCCTGTCCTGTCCCCATGGTTGATGAGGGATCAGGGATTCCTGTCCCTGTGGATGGAGCAGGATCAGAGATTCCTGTTTCTTTCCTGTCCCTGGGGATGATTAAGGATCAGAGATTCCTGTCCCCATGGATAGGGAAGGATCAGAAATTCCTGTCCATGTGGATGATGAAGGATCAGAGATTCCAGTCCCCATGGATAGAGAAGGATCAGAGATTCCTGTCCCTGTGCATGGGGCAGGATCAGAGATCCCTGTCCCGTCCCCATGGATGGGGCAGGATCAGAGATCCCTGTCCCTGTCCTGTCCTCATGGATGATGAAGGATCAGAGATTCCTGTCCCTGTCCTGTCCCCATGGATGATGAAGGATCAGAGATTCCTGTCCCCATGGATGGGGCAGGATCAGAGATTCCTGTCCCTGTTCTGTCCCTGTGAATGATTAAAGATCAGAGATCCCTGTCCCCATGGATGGGGCAGGATCAGAGATTCCTGCCCCCGTGGATGATGATGGATCAGAGTAAACTCTTGAGATGGATTTGAGGTGGCACCCTGGAAGCAGCAGCCTTCCTGCTGTCACCGCCAGCCCCAAACTCCAGCAGATCCATGGCAGCTCTCCCTTCCCAGCCCTGGCTCTGGCTCCTCTGCTGACACCCTTGGGGAAAAGGAGGGGGAAAAAAAGAAGTTCTGGCAAGGAGCAGAGCTGGTGTGTGACAGCTGTGCTCGGGAATCCCTGGGTGCCAGTGATTTCTTCAGGAGTGATGGGATCCATCCAAAACCCTGCATCCCAAACTGCCACTGCTCCTGAGCCAAGGGTTTTCCCTGGATGTGTTTCCCCTGGCTCTCCATTTTCCCTGGATTTCTGTTTTCCCTGGCTCTCTGTTGGATTTCCCAGGATCCCTGTTATCCCCAGAGCTTTCCCACACCTGAGCAGTGAATTCCCTGCTATCCCCACACCTGGGCAGTGAATTCC